GAGTTATTGGCCAAAAACGAAAATTTGGAAGAAATTGAAGGGGTACCCCTTGGAAAAATCTCGGAAAAATCAAAAATTTTTTTTTGTTGTTTATTATTAGCAATGTTCTTCCGACGTTTGATTTCTTTTTAAAAAATGTGTTTCTAAAGTGCATAAACTTTTGGGATTGACTGTATAGCCAATACAACCTTAAAAAAATTGAAATTGTAATTTGTTTTCTACTCTTGTACATGAATTATTGACTTATTCAGGTTGCGATCGACCAATAGGTCAATTACAAGCGATAGATTCCATTAAAGCTGGGAAACGGTGATTTCACGAACATTTCATGAATAATTTCCTGTAATTTATTCAACCGAACTTTTTCCAATCGTTTGACCAGCTCGTTTACTGAATTTACAAAGGAATCGCGATACTTGCTTTCCTATTTTCTAATCCCAGAATACGTCGCTTAATCCGCATTCGTGAACCAACGATTCAATTTCCATTCGATCGTTCAATCACGTTTATCGATTAACGTTTGATTGTGTTTAGACTTGATAGCATCAATCCATTTGCATCATCAAGCATAATATACAATGCGTAATAAAGTAACATGTAAATGAAGGCATGCAAAGCGTTCAAGCAATAAAACGAAGAAAACAATCGTTCTCCTGTTTTTATTTGTCAAGCGTTCTTATCCCATATCATAAAACTTTTTGCCAGGGGTGGGGGGTATGGTATTTTAAGATAACATTATGGGAAAATGCGCCAATGAGTAGCAATTGTCACGTGAACCGAAATTGGGACATTTATTTCGATCCACAAGGTCCACTATCAAGTTCATTATGACAATGGCCAGGGCATAGAATGTGAGCCACGATGCAACTGAATTAAAATGATACGCGTGTGAGTAGATGAATCATAGGAACAAATTGTTTTGTTTCAGCAATACGCAGCCAAGCATGCCGAGCAGAGCCACTTGGTGGAGCAAATGAACACAAAGTACTATTATTACACGAGAACGCAGGGTCTCTTCAGGATATGCTATCCCAAAGAAAGGCCTCCGACTGGTAAGACCTGTTTATAATTAAATAATAAATCAACTAATTTGAATACGTACATTGCCCCTCTTACTTCAAAAAGAAAGTATTTCATTTGTCTTTCGAGAATTTCTGTTTAATCTGGCGAGACTTGGTCACGATATTTTTGGAAGAGATTTGGAAAGCTGATTTCTCTGAAGTCGTTGGTTCCTGCTAGAGACGCCGGCCTTTTAGGAGACTTTCTACGTTACGATAGTAATGTTGCGGGTCAATCCGAACCCACGTAATAGGTTAAAAGTTTATAATCTGCTCGTAGGGAAAGGAAGCAACTTTCGTGAAATTGTACGTGATAGTACAGAGGTCCGGTCAGTATTCGCTCGCGTGAACAAGTATTGAGATGAAACGAGTAATTGGGGTGAAATTATTGCCTATTATAATTCCTTCTATTTCTTCCCATAAGAGATTTCCTTAGTTTCTTTCGTGGTAATAAATAGAAATAAAATAATGGCAACATCATCCTCTTATAACTGAAAGCAGTTCCTACACGAGGATTATAGATAATAGTATTTTTTTGCAAGCACAATCGAGGTGAATGGTGGTATTAGAACTCGACTCGATCATCGGACCGTGTCAATTCTGAATTACTTAATTCGCAACGACACCGTTCGCATCCGAATACTTCTTTTTAGAGCTCTCACTTCGTGATCGTCGACGATATTAGAAGAATAACTGGACCGTTGCAACAGTAATCGCATTTCCACTGCGATTATCGGGCTTTTCACGTGATCGTATCATATTTTCCCATCTCATTACTGTAACTGTGCCTGAAGATCTTCATTCAAAATCTTGACACGCGAACAGTCTTGCTATCTTAGTTAGTCTCATGGTTGGCAACGTGTATTCAAATTATTAGCAGAATTTTCACATTAACTTCTATATATAAGCATCCCACGTGTAATTTTCATAGTAACGTGACGTTCGGTGAACGAAATCTATCGCAAGATACGGCTTGATTTCACGTGATATTAACCGTGAATTTGCAACGCCTTTTCCGTTCAACTTTCTACGGTAATGACGCGTGGAAAAATTTACGTACAGGATGAATCAATCAGAACATTCATATGAAATAATTGTTCTTTCATCTCATTGAAAGATATATTATGTGAATTTTTTATTTAACGAAGCTGATGGGATTAATTCATGCACACGATGTAATTATTTTATTCTTTCTCTTAAGGCTTTTAATAAGGCCAGTGAACGTTGCAATTTTTTTTGGTAAACAAGTAAAATATTCTTTGCACTTAGTATAGAATTTTTGTGTAAGACATGATCGCGCGAGTTCGACGAGTGGAAAGTCCGTTTGCATAAGAAAAGAAGCCTGGTTCGTGAAAGGGAGCCAAGTGCAACTGCATCAAACAGCCGCGTTCGTGAGTCTTCGCGATGTATTTACAATTAGACTTATGGTACTTTTTCACGCGAAGCTAAGGGCTCAAGAAACGTAACGACGAAACCAAAAATGTCAGCAAGCATTTAGGGTATTGGTACCAAATGATAAATAATGTTATGCGGGCCACGTATTATGACCGAATCGACTGACACTTGGCATCGCCTATTCATAGTCACACATTCTTATCATAAATAACGCCAAACGACTTGTGCCTGATATAAATCTAAAAGAGGTTCAGATACTAAATTATTATCAGCATAGATAAATGTTCAAATCTAATACATAATTTGTAAGCAAATCGCTCAAATCTTGGACTCTGAAACTTTAATTAAAATACGAACACGTAATTTCGATGGATTACAGTCGTCTTTTGAAGAAGAAACGAAGCGCGTATAATAATTCGTTGCTGCGTGTTCGTTTCGCCTATCAATATACTTCGTACGTTCACTCGTTACGCTGATCGTTTGAGAGCTGAATATTCTACGGGCTCATTATTCGGAAAGGTTCGCATTTTCTCACGACGCAGCCATGTTCTAAACTACACCACGTTTTGTGAGGCGATTCCAGTTTGTCCGGAAATATCGAGTTTCGTCCTGTATCCTCCGAAGGAAGACCTCGTCCATCCTCGCAGTGGAATCAAAGGACGTTCGGTAGATCAGCCATTCACAGATTTTATCAGTTAAATTGTTCTAGGCTACTAAGTTCTGTTATAACCAGACAAAATATCAGTTTAAAAATGTGTTTTAGACAAATATTATTTTCGTCATTTGAACACTGAAATATGCATTCAGCTTTTAATGTTCTGAATGGTTTTATACGTTACACACAGCATACATTCGATTGTTTGATAAACGTAAAGTCCGCAGACTATTTATAACTGCGGAATCGAAATTCTGCGCGATAGAAAGTACTGAGAAATTCCCATGTAGCGAGAACAACGCTATTCCCGCGGTTTGAGCGAGAAACAATCGAAACGATCGATACGTCACGTTTACCGTCTTATACCGTTCTTCGACCGTCCGTTCCTTATCGGTTCCGACGTTCCGTTCGCTTCCGGCATACCATTTCCGGCGTTCGTGTTTGGTTCACTTAGCGTACGTGATCGTACGTGGGTCTCAATGAAGAAGAAATCGAATTCAATGAGAACACTCGTTACTCAAACATGCAAAAATTTCACAAGGCAGCGATTTCTCCTAAGCGCTTATCTACGAACTTCGTTTCATCCTCGAACTCTGTTCTATAGCTATGCCAGACTTGAATCTTGTCCTTACTGTATCCTCAATCTCTGACCGAACAAATCCTAATCCCTACCACTAAAATCAGAAACCTACATTTTACACGGTTTTATAAAGAATGAGTTAGCGGAATACAGCATGCAGATTTAACATGCTGTGAGAAAATGCATATTCCGGAGCTTCGGTCAGAGATCGGCCTACAAAATGGAGGTCAGATGTATGCGTGCCGCTGCACGCGTGAAAAATTGAAGAAACCAGTCAACCGACCGGTTTCGATCTCGATTTTTGTTTTACTCGAATTTTTTCTGATTGATTGCCCGTAGAAAATGTGGCGGGAGGAGACGCGACGCTCTTCTTCCTAAATAGTCTGTAGTCTGTATCACCGTGTGTACAGTTAGCCACGAGTCAACGGTCTTGGCACGGCGCCTCGTTTAGGCGAAACTAGATTCGAAGAAGGTCGACGAAACGACCGTCACCGGTTGAATTTCAAGCATCGCGCACGTTCCCATCCCCTGTAGCCCCTTCTACACTCGTTTAATCGATGAGCGCACAGCTGTTGCTCATACTCTGCATGAGAAAAATTTCCAATTGTCTTTTTTCTAATCGATTCTCTAAATATTTCTTAACAACCGATGTAATTAGATTAAAAATTGAGTAATAAAGATGATCTCGAGAAAAGGAGGAGAAGGTCGCATGCTCGCAATTAGTGTGATTGCACTTTTCTTCGTCGTTCCTGGAAACACAGGAAACCGTGAAAGCATCGCGACTCTTTCTTTTCACTGCGTGAAACGCCTTTCGAAAGTAGTATTTTGTAGATTCGGAATGGTCAAAGAGTACCGTTGCCCATGAGAGACAAGCTAGAGGAGTACGAACACCAGCCGGCCGAAGCGTGTGTGTACACACACGCTGGGAATACCTTGCACCGGTGATAGCGCATTGCATTCTGGGTCACGTGCTTTTCGATACACGCTGGGTCTGATATGCCAGGGCTGTATCGAAAAAAAGCTGACACCTTTTAGCTTAGGAATTCCATCGATTTCCACCTATTCGAGTCCCTTATTGAATCGCATGGCTGTTCCAATCGTTAAAATTAATTTTGTTCCTTGATATAGCAATACCTGTTCGCTACTGGCTCTCGCATAACTTTCTACGCTCAAAATCTTTTTTAAATTAGTAATTATTAGTATATTGCGTAAATAATTTTGCGCAATAATTTCACTCGAGACTGACAAAAATTCAATGCTCGAAAGGTGGCTTAGTTACATATTCAAGCTGAAACGTAAGAGAATTTCGAACCGGTTGATTTTGCAACCAATCGATTAAACACGTGCGCAATTAGAACGTCACAGAGGCAAATTTCTATGATTGTCCAATTAATAGCCGTGAAACTTCCTTAAACAGACTGTCTGCGCCTGTTTTCGCAATTTTTCCAAGAACTTCGTACCACTCGTGTTCGGTTAAACGCCTGATTAACGCGATCTCTCTTTCGTAATTAATCGCAGTTCAAACGTACCTGAGTCCTGTGGAGACCCACTGTATGAACATCAACTACTTCATCCCCGATGAAGAGAACCTGACGAGGGCCTTCTCCGACGATGCGATGACTCGACTCCGTACGTAGGATGAACGAAGCAAAACATTTCTGCAATTTAAATTCGACTGCATTAAAATACATACTGTATTTTTTTCTGCTTTTCAGACATGGGCAGATCGGTTATAGCTCTGTTTATAGTGGCATTCGTTGCGATCTTTACGGCGTTTTGGACGGGAGTGGTAGGCTGCTGGAAGAGGTCACCGGGAAATATCACAGCCACAGCCATTCTGATGCTGCTAGCATGTTAGTCCATTCATAAATTGAATGCATGCTATAACGTATTATAGCAGAATTGTGACACAGAAATTCGCGTAATTCGTTATATAATATTATATTTACAAGTAGAAATTGTTTAACGATGCAGGTCTGTTAAGCGCTAGCGCGATGGGACTCTGGCACGGGGTGGAGTACTACGAGAAAGAGAAGATCGTCGGCGAGGAGTACTACCAACAATGGACCAACGTAAGTGATGGCCTTCACTAAACTTACACGTGACACGACACCGACACCGGTAAAAACCAATTGTCAATTTTCGCGTAATCGTTTATGAAAATGAATCGCGTCATCGTGGATTTCCGGTATCGGTATCGTGTCCATCAATGCGTGCATCAAGATACGATGAACACGCGCAACGCAACGGACTTGCGTAATGCACAATTAGAAAGTAACTTGTTCTCCATGTACTTATATCAAACTAAAAATATAATTTACTCAGTCGAGATTTCGACGATGCTAGATATAGTTGCAATATCTAAGTAAGATAAATCAATGTCTACGTAATATTTAATCTACGTTGGGTAACGTAAAGAACTATATACGAATTCACGTGCAACGTGCACTGGTTTATCTTATTGAATAAAATAAATTCTTTTTAATAAATGTTAACCATGCTCAAGAGACGATTCGACAAAAGAAGGTTTGCAGGACCAGGGATGGTGCCAGGAGCAATGGCTCGGAAGGAGAAACGTAAATGTTTGAACGTTTGCCCGCAGGTTTTAAGGGACAACACGGTGCAGTGGTACGGCTGGTCGTTTTACCTTGCCTGGCTGGGGGTGGCGACGTGTTTAGGCACGATGACGCTGTTTTTGATCGCGGCGTCCTGCCTGCGGCGGGAGCACGCCCGCGAGCAGGCTCAGAACGTTCAATACATCATGCCAGGTGACAAGCAAACGCTGAACAGGCCGTACTAACTTCCCCCGTCTTTTTTTTTCTCCGGAACGCGTTTCTAGGTCCTGAAGGACAACTCACTAATCTCGTACGACTGGTCGTACGTGGTCGCTTGGGTCGGCGTCGGTTGGTCGTTGGTCAGCGCGATCTTGTTTAGCGCTGCGGCGATTTGCTTGAGGGGCGAGAGAATGCGCGAGGAGGCGATGAACATGCAGTACCTCATGCCTGGTACATATTTAACACCTTTTGCTTTTGCCGTGAACCCGACACGGGCTCGTGCCGGACTCCTTTCAGGTCAAGGAACTCCTCTCGCGGGATTCCTGTCCGTTTCGCGCCACGAATTCTCTTTTTTTTTAATAGAGGAAGTTAAATGTTCAAGCATGGAATGATTGTATAAATTGGATCGGGACGAGTTTAAATAAAGCAGAACGCGCGATAACTCGAGTCCGGTCGCGTTGAATTGCAAATTTCTTTTCGCGTCACGCTTCTTTTCCCGATCATCCATTGCGACAGGTGTTCGAAGTTAGATATATTGTAAGAAAGGAGTCTGTACGTGCATCATGTTCTACTAACTTTGATTCACGATTACCTACATGGGTTGACCCCGAAAATTGTTTTCAACGTTCTTTTACTAACTCGAATTCGTTCGAACGATACTGGCTCGAAAATCGAATTGAAAATACAAAAGGAATGAACCAAATGTTACACGAAGTAGAAATTAGCAGTTCATGACGAAGTAGAGATTTAACAAACAAACTAATTATGCATACATACAAAATCCTTACAGAGCAAATTGATACTCGCTTATTTAACATTGTAACGAAACGAATGATCGTACGAGAACAATAACTTTGTACATAAAACAGTTAATTGCGATTAGTTATAATCGTTGGTTAAAAGAGAGATAACCTTCTTAGTAGATAAAATCAATTGTCAGACATCTCGTGGGAAAAAGAATGCTCGATATTCGTCTTCGTGAAACTTTTACTCGTTCGATTTACGCTCTGTTTCCATCGTGGATTAAAGCAATTTTGTCACGCTCTGATCCTGGGGAAAGCTCCCTAGATAGAACGGTCTCTACCGATCATCGATTTAAAACGATTACTTCGTATTTTACTTTTGGAACGATCCGAAGTGTTCTTCTCGCTATAAAAAAGTCAACATCGCCACTGTACGTACATAAGTGCCATTCATAAAGTAAAATACATCGAGGAGCCATCTCGTTAATGGCTAGGATATTACCATTAGCCTGGTAATTTGTTCGATAAAAATGCTGGAAACCGGAAGAACACGTAGAGCCTATAATAGAGATATCCGCAGGTGCGTTTTAAGTAGCCCCTTGGAAAGCGACACACTTGCCTAATTTTACGCTCGATCTTACGACGCAACGTCTGCTCGCCGCGTAAACATTTTTTGCTCCGAGTATTCAGAACCGTGGAAGAGCCGCGTTAAAATAGAATTCAATTTGCGTCCGCCTACGCGAAGACGAATAATAGGGGAATGGACGTCCTTTTCCCTCAAGAATGAGAATTCTATTTTTACCTTTTCGCCAATCGTCACTCGCGGGGCATCGAAATTAACTTGCTCTTTCTCTCGTTTACAGTGTATCCACAAAAACAACAGTATGCCTACGCCAGTTATCCAGCACCAGCGGCATACCCGGGACCATACTATCACGGATCGCAGTACGGACCGTATAATTACTGAAGGATTCTCGTGTCATCATTATCGACAAGGGAAAGTGTCTTGAGCGCGAAACGTGCTCGCAATCTACAAAATAATGTAATCTGACAAGCGACGTTTCCCAAAGGGAACGATAAAAATCGAAACGAACGAGATAAAAAAAAGGGAGACTCCGAGAGACTGATCGTAAATCCTAAACCGAGCCGAAAGAAGAGAAAATGTAGGGAATAAGAACAATCGTGGGTCTCGTCCTGGGCTATAATTTAACATTCATGTCTGTCTTTTTTTTATGCTACGTTAGTGACGCTCTGGTGCATAATCGCGGGTCCCACGATTTTCAACCCAAGTTTTCTGTTTCGGCAGGTGACTATTTGGATAGTGATCGCTCGAACGGGGTTCACTCGTGAAAGAGACAATTGCTCAAAAACATCTTATTTAAAACTAAGATGATACATACATTTTGTTCTGTTTCGAAACTAATATTTGTATTAATCTGTATGTGCTGACCGTGCTAGGACAATAATAATAGTACCTAATAATAATGCGTATCGAGCATGGGAGAGATATATTGTACTTCGTTCGATTGGCAACGTGATCTTCTTAGAAAAATGAAGAACAGTGTGTCATTCAACATTTAGCTTACAATATCATGACGAATACTTAATTTTTGAACGATCAGTTGAGCATTTAATTTATCCTTACTGCACAAATTGATACATACACATATGCGTGCGTATTTATATATAATCAGACGACAAATTTATCAACTGCAGCAAGGATATGTGACTGAGGAAAATCAGTAATTTATTTAATAAGAGTTAGCGAATCAAAAGAAAAGTATCGGTGAAATCTTTGTTGATTTACGCTCTAATCGAGTAAAAATTACGATCGTGGCTGTAAGAGGAAGATTCGGCAATATGGTGCACGAGAAATATCAGAACGATGTTAAATGAGAACAGAAAGCGTAAAATGGGTGCATCCCGTATCATTTACAAATATCTCGTTTCATAATAACGACTCGCGTCATCGACTCACTAGACTTTCTAACGTATATTGATCTTCTCTTTTTTTATAACGTCGACTTGTAAGATTTCTTATTGCGATATTTTTACGTAAGGTATTCAAACATTTCAATTACTTTATACGTGCTTGTTCGAGCAAATAAATCGAACCAGACTTACTCCAACCATTACATTTCCCAATTTTTTACGATACTATGCTTAAAAAGGAAACGACAAATTGATTGAAAACTCGTTGCCGTAAGTATAACTGTTTTCATAAATTCGCAACTGTATTATTTCCCGAAAGAAACTATTAGGCGAAAACCTATTCCTCTTTATGTATTATAAAAGGTGCAACACGTATCATTAAATGTTGTTTAATATATATTTAATCTTGTAAAACCTTCTTATTCATTTCCTTACCCATCAAATTCCAGCTTAACCTTCTTGTTCTTCTTTTTAACCGCGAGCCGTACACACACTGTCCATAAAGTTAAACCGGTTTGAATATACGTTAAACTGTTTCTTCAACGAATGGATACTTCAAAATTTGAATTTTCATTTGTTATCGCGTATCAATTTACACATAATTTAGAATAATACAAAAGAGGGAATATTGAATATATTTATCACTCACAATTATTAATTTATTGTTCGCAAGATAGCGAAGAAAGCATGTAACTGATGCATTACTTAATCTTGTACTGACCAATAAACGTTAAAACACACATGAATCACGTGACATTTGTTTCAAAATGGCGGCATACATTTAACAGATAGAATGAGAGCTTCACGGCATTCACTTGCGTGCGAGTTGGCTACTGTACGACAATGGTCGGTCTTATTTTACAGATTTTCTTAATTTCCGTCGGTTGTTTCATAACCGATGCGGATATTGTAACGCAAACGAAGTTCAGAAATGCGAAGGTAACGTTTGTCTCATTTTGCTTATTCATTTTTTATTGACGGATGCTTTCACTCTCCTCTGCATTATCATTTTCTAAAACGACATTTCGCAATGCATCTCATTGATTATCGTTTTACATACATCGGTTACAGTTATGACATGATTCCAGTACTATCACACGCCAGCAAAGCTGTTGAAAAGTCAAATAGCGACATTATCAGACCTATCAAATGCCACTCACATAGATGAAATTCTAGATAACATATGCGTCGTGAGAATCGTTGGCACACCGGAACATACGACAGTAAAAAACGTAAGTTGAAATGACGTTAGTGATAATTCGTTTATGTTGATTAATTATAACGTTTGTAATTTAAAAAATACTAGTTATCTATAAAAGCTGTAATAATATTTATGTAACTGTAAGAAATGACATTTGCTGATAAGGAAATCTGTTTTTCCTTGTAGTACATTAAGAAGTCGATGACAGATCTTGGCTGGGCAGTGGAATCTGACACCTTTGAAGATGACACTCCCAACTTTGGTACTTTAAAATTTGAAAACATAATTGCAAAATTAAATCCCAATGCCAAGAGGTATTTGGCATTAGCGTGTCATTATGACTCAAAGTATACTAGGAAAAGGGATTTCATTGGAGCCACAGACAGTGCGGTACCATGTGCTCAAATGATCAACTTGGCTAAAGTGATGAAGAATCATCTAGACTCAATAAAAAATGTATGTTATATTAATAAAAATAACTTTTACTCATCTTCTTATAACGATCTTTGTCTTGTTTCAGAATGATGTTAGCTTAATGTTTATATTCTTTGATGGTGAAGAAGCTTTTAAGGAATGGGGTCCCAAGGATTCTATCTATGGTGCAAGGCATTTAGCTCAAATTTGGCACAGCAACTATAGTACTTACCAACTAGGAGAAAATATTTCTGAATTAGATAAAATTGTAAGTGTCACTTAATGGTCAAGTCAAATCAATTTCTAATTATTGTCTCCCTTTTTGTAGGATCTATTAGTTCTATTAGATCTAATAGGTGCACCGGATCCAACATTTTACAATTACTTTAGTAACACAGAGAAATGGTATTCTTTACTAATGTCTGTGGAAAGTAAATTGGCTTCCTTAAGGAAATTTGAGTCTTATTCGTATGGGCAACCCGCACAAACATACTTTCAACCATATTCAATGGAAGCCCATATCGAGGATGATCACATTCCATTTTTACAACGTGGTAAATATTAATTTCTATATATTCATATTTAGAAATTTTATATTTCAACTGATTATTGAAATCTGTATTCTAGATGTTCCTGTTTTGCATTTAATACCGTACCCTTTCCCAAAGGTTTGGCATAAACCCAGTGATAATCGTGATAATATTGACATAACAACGGTGGAAAATATTAATAAGATTTTAAGAACTTTTGTAGCTTCGTACCTGCATATTAATTTGTAACAGCCAATTAAAAAGTTCTATTTTATTATAATGAGATTTCATCTTTTGTCATGACAGTATTAATTGCTGATATTAGAAGATGTAAATTATACAATGAGACATTAATTATACAAGTACTACCATGACTCCTGTATGATGCATTGTTAAAAAACAGGGTAAATGTACTTATTAAGTTATTATGTATTAACTTATATGTATGTTAAAAATGGGGATTAATATATTATGAAATAAAACATAGAACGTATAAGTTCTATTGTAATGCGATTACAAAGACTGTCAAACGATGTGAGATATAAGTACCTCCGTCGCCTAAATACTCAGGAAATCGTTCGAAGAGGTACGTGACTTCCCGATACATGCCCAGAATGAGAATTCAAATACGCCGCTATATAATTTCAATTTCAATTAAAGATTTTTGGGATGATCATCAATATCAACGAATATTATACAATTAAGGAATTGCTGCCTTCGAGTCCTGTTTTTTAGGAATTGTTGAAATTCAGAAATCAGCGTTGAATCGTGAATGTGAATATATTATTTTCATGAAGGTAACGGTCGACGATCGCAAGTGAAAGTGGGTATTCGACCGCGAGGTTGGTAGTTCTGATCGAGGTCATTGTTCGTGCGGGCGCGCCCGACCGAGCTTTCCTACCTTCCGAACTTCCGACTCGAACCGAATGCCGACGAAACTCGTCGAACACGGTCGAACATAACCGAAACGACGCGACGGCGAAAGATACGAGAGACGCGAGCGACAGACGTGGAATGACTTCACGCCACTGACGGGTATTTCAATGGTTTTACGTGTTCGTTCGTATCGTAAGTTAGACAACAGGCTGGGCCGTCGTCCAACCCGTTCACGCGGTCGTCGAGAACGGTTAGCGCGATACACTCGAGAGATTTTCGCGGGACGTCGTTAAAAAACGCGTTGCGGCTGACACATCGGTCAGGCAAGGCGGTCTCGCTTCGACAGAGATGTTGAAGTTTATCAGAGGGAAGGGCCAACAACCTACGGCCGAGCGACAGAAACTGCAGAAGGATCTTTTCGCCTTTAGAAAGGTGAGTCTAGACTTTAATCGAAGGTTCGCCCACACCTGACCCGGCGAAACGCATCGAGTCACTCATTCGTATACCTATATACACTTACGGGACATTATATTTTTTTTTCTCTTTCAACCTCGCGATTATTGAAATAGATTAGATGCAGCTTTGAAAGAAAACAATATTATTGTGCACGAAGTATTTGGACCGGGCAAGATCACGTCGGTATTCCTAATAGGAAGCAGACAGTTTTAATGAAACAACGTAAAAATATATTTGCCGCTATTTTTTTTATTCATTGCGGTAGAAAGTGAGAGTGGATACTATTGGGATATAAATTTATTTTCATTTACCTGTACGTCTTCTTCTCTTTGGCTACCTTGAAAGCTTTCAGAAAACGCTACAGACCGTATCGAATTGCTATTTACTTTCATTCTCTGTGTGTTATCTTTCACGATTCGGTATTTTTAATGTCACGTAATTTTATATCTTTTAAAATAAAAAGAAACGAGGTGAAGAACTGACTCTGATAAACGGCATCAGAGGGTTAGTTTTATCAGAAACATACGGGCTCTTAAAACAGACCGATCGTTCATCTTTTTCCGTTTTATTTACGCATCCATTATTTATAAATCAACAGACTTGCGATTGAAAGTTTGTTCTGTTAGATAGTAATCTGTTGCTTCGTGGTATCACGATGTTGACACGCGGTGCATTTCATAAAACCGGAGTTCTTTTTACACGTAAGATCCTCGACAATTTTGCAGTTAAATCTTGTCTCGAAATGGAAAAGGATAGTAATAGATGGTTGAATATCGTGTCCCAAGGAGATCCATAAATACCTCGTGATATAATTGTACAGTCGAGAGAAACAACTTGTCTCGAATTAACTCCCGATAAGAAGGAATCGAACAAATCTTTAATTTTATTTTATCGAATGTATGCACGAGTTAAACGCGCGATAAAACCCGCCACGATTTGCTTTTTCTTATAGGTTATTGTCGGTTACGCGTGACCGGTGTATGACGAACTGCTGATACACCAAACAAGTTTTAAAACTAACCTAATTCTTTTTACCAGCGATCTATTAATCAATTAAAATGTTTATATACATTCAGCAACAATTATTTGTTTTCGCGTAAGATTAAAAAATTGCAAAGAGGATTGTGATCTTTGTCTGCTACAAGTGGATTACGAAAGGAACGGTCTGAGAGCAGCTGCACTGAGACTGTCCGCAGCTTCGAAAATCTGGCTTTACCGCGGGATATTGAGATTCTAAAATTGCCGTCGTCCGGGAATATGATACAGCTTGTTTTAAGAATGAACAGCGCGGAATCAACAGGTCGATACCCGAACGTAATCGATACCGAAAGTCTAGAAGACGCCGGAAGGCCGAGACACGGTGCGAGAGTCAGGATTATTGTGGTCGTATGCGGTGCGTTTCTTTAGCGGTTCTGTCTCGGCTGGCTGTCATCGTCACCGGCTATCGGCTGCACCCGTCGCGAAACCTTATCACGGTTTAATTCTCCTGCCGCTGGATCCAAACGTTTGACGACACAGATTGCAAAAACAGTCCGGGATGCAAATCAGGTCGTGCCGGCTCCGATCGATTCACGGTTTTTCCATGACATCTCGTCAATCCCGATAAATCAATCTAACGAAAATATATAATTTCCTTCTGTATATTGTTAAGCCTTTTTTTATCGTAGATTAGTTGGTAAAGTCGATACACATGACTCCCTAAGAACTTAATTCCCAATGTCTGATCGTTGTGCTCGTAATATGAAACGGAAGACGCATAAACTCGGGATAGAAGAGAGGAACGGCTACTCCAGTAGACGTGTACTTACACTACGTTATGTACTTTCGTTCGGTCAGAAAATGAAATAGGAAATGTAGGTTAATCTGTGGGTTAAGCAATTACAGACAGAAGTAGCACGCTATGCATGGTAAGATGTACGAGTAGGAAAAAAAGTAGAAAGCCCTCATGGCGCGGAGGGTGCCTGTTGCCTTAATTGAAACGGTCACGTTTACGCAAACCTGTGGTTTACGATGCAGTCTGGCCCAATCGAAAACTGAATAACGTTTGATTAGATTACGTCATTGAATGCTGCTATTTGATCGGAAAGAGGCGTGGGAGGCAATTTAAAAAAAAAAAAACAGATAAAGGCCACTTTGTAATCTTTGGAGAGCGTCTGTATTTTTATACGTTTTTCAAAAAAATTTGGGCACTTCGACAAGTAGAAATACACATGAGAGAGATATGATAGATCAAATTTACTAATCCCGTATGAGTGGGATTACGTCGAGCAATCAACGGTTCATTTTTGTATCGACTCTATCAATAATTTCATATACGTTGTCTGACATAAAGAAAAAAGATAGGAACAACGATATTATCGGCCTTCTGTGCAAACAAAAACATGATAAGCCGCCTAGCCCTTTTCACGTTCTCTTTAATATACGCGCAAGAATGTACCGTTAGACTATGCTAGTTTTACCTACGCAGATTGGCGCGTATGGAGTATTTCGAATGTTCTAATGTAACGAGATGATTCATAGTAAGTGTACCTGTATTATTTTTATCGTTAAACCGTTATGAAACATCAACGATTGTCCCTGGAAAGTGTCTCCTCGTGTTTGTCAAATATCAAACAGGCTTACGAATATTTAAAAAAACCAATAAAAAATATATGTACGTTCGATTCAAAGAAATGTCGTATCGGATTATCGATCTTAACACTTTTTTACGTAGTGAGTAAAATTAGATCTTCCCTTGAATCGTTTCTTTTATTTAAATTGTATGCAGTCCGATAAATAAAAACTCTTTGAGAAGTAGGTCGTTTATCGATCCGGTTATTTGATAAAACAAGGAATTTCCAATGCTGTAATACTTTTCCTCGTAAATGGCTATAAGCAAGGGCACCGTTTGATCGATGCCTACTCATTGCGAACTTCATTCGACGCCGGGCTTATTCAGATTAAGCTAAAACTAGGATTAGAGCTCGCTGGAGAATCCTTTGTTATGCGTGCGTTGGACCGTGCTTGTGCACCTTCTTACTTTAATTTTCGCGGAAGACCCGCCCGAAACGTGGAAGCGGTGACACCCTTTCTCATGGAAATTACCTGGGCCAAGGTCTTTCATCCCCTCCAACCGTACACCGCATTGTACCGACGAACATTCGTTTTTCTAACGCACGCCAAATCGATATTGTGGGCAGCCCTAGATCTTACAGGTTTTACCTTACCTACCCGAAGATCTTTCGGTTCAGGTAGGAAATGTTTCTGCATTCTTCAAATTTTCAGCCCGTTCTATCACCTGCCCTTGAAAACCGCAACATTTTAGCGAAATATTAGATTCACTTTCTGCATTTCATAATTAAAGACTGTGTTTCTGATAGAAGAACATGAGTATCATAATTTTTCCGTGTTTGTTCTTCAGAAATATTGCTTGAATCTCGTCCGATAAGATTCCCTTATCGAGGAGTGATAGAGATGTTTGAAGAGATTATTTTGGAGTACTCCGCCCTCCGTGACAGGATGTACGTTGTTATACTTACAAACCGTATTAAAGAAACGTTTTAATTGCTCGGAACAGAGATTGTTTGTGATCCGGTTTGCAGAGCGGCAGGCGATTACGCGTACACGGTTGGTCAATGTAAAAAGTTCGATTAACGGGAATTGACAAGATATGAGTCATCGGCGATGAGCAATCAGTTCGTTGCCTTTCGTCCGAAAATTGATGATCGGACATACAGAGCAAGGCGTTACGTGGAGAAAGTGGGAAACGGCGGGCGTGCGTAATTACCGTTAACTGCATTCAGAACGAGTCGCGGAAAAGGGAGGGCACGATCGTTAACCCGTCCATCGCTGTTTCCCTTAATTGAGTTTGCCTTATGTTCTATTCAATTGCGACCAGACCACGTTTCCCTTTTCATTCGACGTTTCAACTTTCCAGAGCATCGCACGCCTCACATTTTAAATAATCTCTTTTATAATCGTTTCATTGAAAAGATTAAATTATTATAAATTGAGAATAAATTAATAATTGTTATGTGTCCATATGTATAAACGACGATGCAGATAGCGCATACTATTCTTAACAACTTTCTCAGTATAAATAGCTCCTTGATTACGAGGGCCAGTGTACAATAATTGCAAAGCACGGTCAGGGCAATTTGTGAATCGGGCATCGCGATGTGACGCAATCCATTAAATGAGAAGCTTTTAAGAATGTCTAAAGAAAGTATGTCCGCATGTGCTTCTAATCGTTTGGCGTTATGGTAAAATATGCTTCAACTTAGAAATAGACATCAAACGTTTCTCAAATTCTTAACATTCAAAAACATATTTCCGAATATATCTTCGTAGTGCAATTATCATTGAAAATCAGAAATTTTAATGAATCCACGGTATCATATCTACTCCAATATTCTGTTAAATCTCTTTCGTCATGCAGATGCAAGATTTTCTCATTACGTAGCCAGATAATTAAGAAAGAAAGTAAACTGTATTAATAGCATCGAGTAATACAACCCAGTCGTTATCTAGCTTGTCGAATAAAGAACGATAAATCACCGACTAATAATAAACAACATTCCACTCAAACGACTTTAAACGACGCAGAAACCCATTAAACACCCAGGCCTTCACCGATACAATCCTAAACCACTCAACTTATATGAGCTCCTTATTGTTACATTTATTCTCTTCAAGCTTTTAAATAGTAGTTATTAAAGTATCTGTATAATAATCTATGTAATGACGTTTGTTTTCTGTTCGCAGACTGTGCAGCATGGATTCCCAAACAAACCCACGGCCCTTGCATGGGATCCGAGTTTGCGGCTGATGATCATCGGCACGGCATCCGGCGCCATCAAGGTGTATCCTTTTTGCTCTCGCCGCTCCTCTTTTTTCCTCCTTCCTTGGCTCTCTTTTCTTTTGGTATTTATAATCGGGTCCCGAGGAACCCCACGCTCGATGACGCTCGTATCTGCCGATAAATCGTCGAAAACCGCTTCGGGAGAACCGCTGAAGGGAAACGGGAGTTAAACGTGATTGACGCTGGTTTCTTCTGATCTCTCCTTCTCTCTCTTCTCGTTGCGGCTACTAATTTTAGACCCGCGATACTCGATATTTCGCGATCCGGTTGGGAAGCTGTTCTTCGATTCACGCCTCGGCCTCTGCGATCACGACTTTCATTGAGAAAAACATTCCGGTGTCTTTTACCTTTTTTCATGGACACGTCCCATCGTGGGACAGTCCACAGTTGCATTCCGAGAAAATTGAGAGTCTGACGTGGTAGATTCTTTTCCTGTCGTGCAGAAGCTTTTCCTCGTGATGAAATCGAATTTTGAATTAAGTTATCTATGCAACAGGAAATGTCAAACGCAAAGCTATTAAAGGATCGAGTCAAAGAGAAACTATTATGTATTTCGGAGCCTAGTTATTTGAACAAATACGTCATATTTCAAGTGTAACGAGTCAGCATTGGGTTATTTTGTTCGAGGTCTTGTCCTTGTTGTAAACGGAACATAAAACTGGTCGGGCCAATGTTACCGCAGAGGCAATAAACCGTTCCTGGTACGTGTGCAATATTAACTCGAAATTATGCAAACATCTTAGCAAGTCATTAAGAAACTTATTGCCGAACAAACGTTTGAAAATTAGTCGACGTAGGTACAGACGTACGGCGTGCACGTGTTTTCGTTACCTCATTACCCAGTTCGCGTGGGGTCGAGTATCGATTCAGCGGAATGATTCTCGTTAAGACAACTGTACATTTTATGGTCTCGTATTTAGCACTAATCCAATGATTTAAAACGACTTTAGTTTTGTTATAATTTCATCCTCCGCGCATGATGAATTAATCATTGAACAGTTTTTATGGTGCGAGAAATGTTAATTGAAAGCGAACAAAAGGTTTAGTTTCCAATGCGTATTCTTTGCATAGCATTCGTACTTTAACAGAATTTCGATGGCAGATGTTCGAACGGCTACGTAATCAGTGAATGATGATTATCATTTCGCAAGACGATCGGTAAATCTTTGCCGTGTCTCAATGGAAATTTATATTAGAAAGGATGCACTTTACAAGCTTGAAACTTTAATTGAAATCTGTAAAGTGCGAAACTCGGAAATTGATTGTTTAATTAATATTTTCAATTAAGCTCGTTTTATCAATGATGTCGAGTATACGCGGAGGCTTAAATGAGACAATGGCGTAATGTTAAAGATCAGAGTAGAATTCGTCGACAGTGCAGAATGTATGCATTTCGCGAATTGAGCACAATCGTTTCTGTCAACGCGTTAAATCGGTCGTTTGTGAAACGAGAACGCACTTTGGATAGGGTCTGGCTTACAGTATAACACAAAGGCTACAGTTTTCCCTGTTTTCCTTGACTAACAGGCGATAACAGATTTGGCAGACCAGGAGTGGAATTCTATGGACAGCATACTATCGAGAGTGGAGAGAATGCTGTTACGAGGATTATCGCTCTACCTAATGAGGTAAGTGTCACCGTTTTTTATAGTTATCAATTTTAAGTTACATTGTTCGTAATTTATAGTTCCTCAAATAGTCTTGTGATAAATGGGTTGTTACTGAAGTCTCGAAATTTTTAGAAGTTGTTACAAAACCGTAAGGTGACTATAAACACCTGAATTACCATTATTTATAACGTTTTAACTTACGTAAACTGCTTTAAATCAGAGCATGCAATAAGGAAGTGTATTTGTAGTTAGGAAAGAATGTCAGATGTCTTATCGTCCTAGTTGAAACGCTTTAACGACCGTAATACTTAGAGAAATGATGTTAATGTCTAACGGAGAAGTTTCACAAATTTTTACCTCGCCTTTGTATTTGTCAAATAATTATATTCCTAAAAGTTTCCGCCTGAACATCACCGTGCAAGTGAAACAGTCCGATTGGGCTCGTGTTCATTGAAAGAAGGAGGCAGATACGCTCCAGAAATGAAACGTACGGAAGTCGGGTCCCGCGTGGTAGTAGGTACATAATATCTTCTACGTACACATTGTAATCAAAAGGGAGGTGTGAAGTTATGGTTGTTTTAAAAGTCACATACGTTGCACGAGAAACGCGACACCCGCGTTCAGCTTCTACGGCCGCCGCGACGCGACGCGCCGTTGCTGAGTTGCATAACTGTGTGCGACACGCTTTTGCACGCGTGTGCGTATAAATAATATACGACCACTATTGTCGCTCTGTCTTACAAAGGTCGAGAAGGTACATACTATATGTGTATTCCATCTTTTCCTGTTTTCTTCATTTTAAATACTTGCGCAGCATCGGGAAGATTTCGTTATCAAAATCACTAATACAGTGATTATTCTTTTGTTTTCTGAAAATGATGCATCCGGGAGAATTATGTCAATATACTATGTATATATGCAATTGAATGATAGACGTACGATTAAAAATGTAGTAATGTTTATTTTGTTAGGAGTAGATATAGAAGAAGTGGTAACGTGATATTCTTTTCTTAGAAAGATTGTTAAGATAAGTTTTACGAGGAATCCTGGATGATGTCATCCTGGCGCCTTTTAATATTCATTTATAAAACGAATATAATGTATATAAGCACTCTCTTGTCATAAAATTAATAACGTATTGGATAAGGAGAAAAGAAATGACTAATCTAGCCGTATCGTATGAGTGAGTAAACAGTCAGATGGCAAACATTGAACAGCGATAGAAGGCAACTTGCATACATGCATAGAACTCGAGAAATAATTAATTACCGGCGCGGGAGAAAAAGAGGAGAGCAATCGAGAAAAGTGGCGTATAATTAGGAATAACAGAACACTGAATTACCTCATCGTCTAGTTTGCGTACATGAATAACGATAAATCCGTTTCGCGTTCATTTACCTCAGCGGCAAATTGTTGATTAATAAGTTTCCCTGAATATCGTCCCGAAGGTGATAAAATTTGCGCAAGGAGCAGAGAGAATCGGTGTGATTGCGTCGTTTCTTCTATCGGATCAATCATCGCCGTGCTTACGTTGCCGGTTACGAGCCGTCAAATCTCTTTATCGCGATCATTTTTCAAACGAATTCTAAAACCGATAAGATAGCAGCTGTGCGATTATAATTACCTCACCGTGACTGTATCGAATATCACGTTTTACAATTTTTTTTTAACGTTATGTCGTTCCCGAGTCTATTCTGTTGGATATTACGTAACGAGATCTAAACGATTCCACTACATCAGTTTATCGAGTTTCGATTCTAAATTATCCAGATAATTTAACAAACGTAAGGACCGAAAGTATGCCGAGCCAGACAATAGATAGAGCGTAGAATGCAGAACAGTTGGAGTGGCAGTTCTGCCTTTGTCGGGTATAATGATCGAGCGTATGCAGACCCAATTATTTAACTGCACACGTTAATAACACGCGGAAAGAGGGACGTGTTTTGCCTCGCGGAAAACACGCTCGGCACAACGTAGATTCGCGTGAAAGTACGAAACGCGTGGCGTGCCGTCTTAACCTTGCCTTTTTCATGAGTTTTCACTTCGCCTACTGCGGATGCCTTCGTTACCGAGGAAAAAGGACGCGGGAGCGTACCATGAGAAACGATGAAATTGTGAAAACTACAACACAATACTTATTAACTTCGCTTATCTGTATCGCGATTCAAAGGACGTTACGAAATCTGTCTCTCAAAGATTTCTTTTAATATATCCGGCAACAGGGAAACGGAAGAGTAAATAGAGGGAAAAAGAGTTGTCGACGACACTATTCATTCATTCATTAAAATAAACATGTCGTTTGTACGTTCGTGGAACGAGGCGACAGAAAAAACTCTCTCATTTACAAGGAACACACGTAACAGGGCCGCGTGGTTTCCCTTTGCGACGACAACTCGCTTCACCTGTGGGAGATCAACGAGAGCTCGGTCGTGGAGACAAAGTCGCTCTCGTTGGAAGGGAAACTGAAGAAAATCTCGGCGATGTGCCTCGAATCGAGCGGCGAGCACCTGCTCCTGGGAACGGAGGGTGGAAACATCTATCTTTTAAACCTGAAGACGTTTGTCATGCCGGATAACATTATCTACCAAGATGTCGTGATGCAAAAGTGAGTAGCAGTTGATATCTTTTCTAACTTGAGAGAAAACTCGTACGCCTGTCGCATTAGTCTTAAATGAAACTCATTCAGGACTGATTGTTCTCGATGTGCGAATGTGGGCGAGACAAATACCGCGCATCACGTGTGATCCACGGGACACTGAACGCGTTAAGATAAAATAATTCTTGGAATGACGATTCTCTGTCGGTGACAGTGTAATAAATTCTCGACGTCTAATCTAAAACACCTTTGACATGGTGAACCGACCTCCGCGAGACAATGAGTCTCCACGAAACCGTGTGAATGTCTTTTCTAATTAAGTCTCGTCGAAGGAACAAAGCGTTTGATCCTTAATCGCCACGGAGGAGTCGGCATTGAAATTAGTCAGACGTACGTGTCCGTGACATACCGATATTTTTGTTGTCGCAGCGTGCCAGATGATTACAAGAAGAATCCAGGAGCGGTCGAGGCTATAGCGGAACAACCAGGTCACCCGGACAATATCCTGATAGGGTATAATCGCGGGCTGATGGTCCTGTGGAACAAAGCTACTCCCGGAGCTCAGCAGGTGAGCTTTCTTATTATTAGCCCTTACTCCTCCTTACACGCACTTATCTATGTACACAATACTGTACACTGTGGCGAATGTAATGACACGCTTACAGAACACAGTTCGAACACACATGCTTATTACATTTGTGGGGCAGTTTAATCCATTGGTATACAAAGATGCAAGTTTAAGGATTGATTAACTTTAATTATTATCTTCATCGAATAACATTAACTCGTATGCTAAGTAAAAATGAAAATAAAATTGTAATACGTAATCCTTGAGTAACATATTTTTTTCGAATGTGCACCGATGGGTTAAGCACGTACTGTGACATGGTATTGCTCGTTCTGATTGTCGTTTGTGTCTTTGGTGGTTTTGGCGAACGTGTACGTGCAGCTGATGGGTTTGTTTTCGCGTGCGCAGACATTCGTCTCCACGCAACAGCTGGAATCTGTCCACTGGCTCTCCGAGACCCGTTTCGTTTCCTCCCACAACGACGGATCCTATGCATTTTGGAGTCCAGGCAGCGATAACGTGCTAGAGTCGACCACTCCCTACGGACCGTTCCCGTGTAAAGCAGTCACTAAAATTCTTGTCTATCCCACGGCAGAGTGAGTAAAACAATTCTACTTGTTCATTCATGTATGGAAAGTAATTCGTGAGATAATGCAACTTTAAAAAATGCTTTACAGACATGGCGAACTCTTTTTATTCTCGGGTGGAATGCCGCGCGCGAGTTACGGCGATCGTCATACGATCACTGCTATGGCGAAAGGCAAACATGTCGTTTTCGATTTCACGTCGAAAGTGATCGACTTCTTCGTCGTGTTCCCTAAACAAGAGGATGGTAAAGATAGCGTCGATAATCCGGAAGCGCTTATAGTATTAGCCGAAGAAGAAGTAGTAGCAATCGATTTAACTAATCCTGAGTGGAAGATGATGGCGTTACCTTACTTAGTATCGCTTCATGCAAGCGCGGTAAATGTCACACTTTATTACCTAACATTTGATTTGACGCACATCATTTTTGTACTCATGTTTGCAATGCTTCTATTTGTTACAGGTCACCTGTTCGCAGCACGTGCCAAATGTCCCTGAAGAACTGTGGGAGAACATTGTCACAGCTGGAAAAGCGCAGACCGAACATCTGTACTCGGATAAATCATGGCCTATAGATGGTGGAATAATACTTTCTCAGAAGTCGGGTAGCGACAAACCTAAAGGCAGAGAGTTGTTACTGACCGGTCACGAGGACGGAACAGTGAGATTCTGGAACGCGTCCGATGTTGCTCTGACGCCTCTTTACAAATATAATTCATCTATTCTGTTCACCGGCGAACACCTGGACGTTCTTGAGCAACCGCCAGAAGACGACGAAGATCAGTGGCCACCGTTCAGAAAGGTTGGAACCTTCGATCCGTATTCCGATGACCCGCGACTCGCAGTGAAGAAAGTTTTACTTTGCCCGTTATCATCGACTCTGGTGATTGCCGGCACGGCTGGTCACATGATAACAGCGACTATATCGTCCGAGCCAGTGAACAAGGAGATCAAAGCCATTACCATGAATATCGTGAACGATCGTGACGGATTTGTTTGGAAAGGTCACGATCATCTTCCGGCGAGAACAACTAGCATAAGTTTCGCGGTCGGTTTTCAACCGCAAAGTCTTCTTCAATTGTATCCACCAGCTGCGGTCACCGCGCTGGCTATGCACAGTGAGTGGGGTTTACTCGCTGCTGGCACAGCTCACGGTTTAGCTGTTTTCGATTATACAAGGGCGAAGGCTGTCAACGTAAAGTGCACGCTTAATCCAAACGGTACTTGTAATTAACTGGATACGTTAATTAGATACTCGTAAGCAGAATACATTTTTAAATTTTGTGTGCCCCGTAGATCTTTCGGGATCAGGTGATACACCGATTTCTAGACGGAAATCGTTTAAAAAATCGTTGAGGGAATCTTTTAGAAGGTTGAGGAAAGGAAGATCGCAACGTCGAACGAACGCTAGTAGTCCAACGAGGAATGTCGCATCCGAAAAGAAGAAAGAAACGTAAGTATACTTTAAGCTTCCAAAAGCACAAACGTGACTAATATATTAAACGATGATTATTATTTCTGAAAGACCTAGTATCGCTTCTTCACCAAGCGGTGATCTTTCACCAGTGGAATTGAAGCCTGTGGAGAGGCAAGTAGAGGCAAGACCTGTGGATGATGCGCTGGGATCAATGGTTCGATGTTTATATTTTGCTAGGAGTTATATTATAAGCAGTAAGTGTGTTTAAGATGTCTTCTATCAAGTGTTTAAATTCATGAATTTAATACTTTGTTTTGTATTTCAGTGCAAAATACAACGCCTACGCTTTGGGCGGGTACTAACAACGGTACCGTTTACGTTTTCACGTTGGCGATACCGGCTGGTGTTAGAAGAACGGAAGAAGATGTAAATTGTACATTAGGAAAAGAGATTCAATTAAAGCACAGAGCACCCGTAATCGCAATCACGATTCTCGATGGGTCCAGTGTCCCGTTACCGGAACCATTTGAAGCTGAGAAAGGCGTGAGTCCCGGCCCAGACATGGCCTCCCCGCATCGTGTTGTAATTGCAAGCGAGGAGCAATTCAAAATTTTCAATCTTCCATCGTTAAAACCATACTGTAAATACAAACTTACTGCGCACGAGGGCTCCCGCGTAAGGAAGACAGGCTTCGCGAAGTTTACGTGTCCGATCGAACCTGCAGGGACGCACGAAGAGACCTGCTTATTGTGTTTGACTAATCTCGGAGATTGTTTAGTGCTTAGTATTCCTGAATTGAGACGGCAGCTGAACGCTGCCGCAATTAAGAGGGAGGACATTAAGTTAGTAGATATGCTTTCAAGTCGATTGGTTTCTTTTCATATAAAGTATTCATTGCTTCGTTGTTCTTTAGCGGAATTTCCTCATTGACATTCACGAAAGCCGGCGAAGCGTTGTATCTTCATTCGAGTTCGGAACTACAGCGAATTTCATTGTCAGCCAGTAAAGTGACGAAAGCGAACTGCGCATTAAATTTACCACCGAACGCGAGATCATTTCCCGAGACTAACAACGAGGAGACTCAAGAGCAAGGAGTAGTCGAGGGGACGGCCGAAACGGAAGGTGAGACGACCCAGGGAACTGAGCCGAACACGGTACAGAGGATGATAACGGAAAACGGAGTGGTGGGTTCCAGTAAGTATACCGGGTCTTCGCAACGAGTCTTCTTCGCGTTTTAATACTTGTTAGATAATTGTTAAGTTGAAAGATCATTATAGGATGTTTAAACGTGCTATTACTAAATGCGCGTAACCGCTTGCATAATCTGATAACCCATATATATGTATAATGAATTATTGCTTCGCTATAATCATCTGTGACTTAAGAGCTAGTCGCTAAATTGTAATTTACCTCCGATTAACATTGTCATCAATCACTGTGTTTTGTAACGCTTTAGTATCGATTCTTGAATACATGTATTTTAGCCAGCGGTGAAGAATCTCCGAAAGAGTCACCGTTGCAACCAGCTGCAAGTACCAACGATGTGAACGGAGAAGACGATCGTCAAGATTTAAGTTCTATCGGAGACATAACGATCGATAGCGTGAAGGATCACTTACTGTAAGTGAACATGTTACACGACACGTCTAGCTTTTTATTGTTTTAATTTCACTTGCTTATTACTTATTAGTTGACTTTATATATGCGAGAGAAAGTCTAGTTTCGTAGAGGACAAGCCTGCTTCGTAACGGATTTATTTTGCTCTGCTAATCTGTGTTTTCGTGTACTTGCCATTTGATTGGCAGTAACAGTTCACTTTTCAGAAATGCAACGTCTTCCGAAGATCTTCACAATCGTCTTGCAGGACTTAAGATGGAAGTTACCTCTCGGACATCGGAGATCTCCACCCAGAATCAATCTCTCGTTGTAAAGACTACGACCGTCGTTTCGCAAACGACCAACAATACTACCGCCAATGGCGAAGTTGAGACAAGTCAGACAAATGAAACACAACAAGTGAACAGTGAGTGAAATCATTATTAATCGAAAATTAGTGTTAAATTTACTGTGATGAAGTGTGACCAGATTATATGATTCTGAATGACACTGATTTCATTGCTTTTTAAATGAAAGTTTTTGAATGAATTTTTTTAGGTCTCCCAATTGTACTGTATTCGAAGAAAGAATCGTAATTCTTGATAATTTATTTATTGTGTAAATCATTGATCATTTTTTATCTTGTGTTCGTCTCTCGCCGCTTTTGCAATTGTTATTCTTTTACTCCCTCTTATATTTTATTATTTGTATTCTTTTATTACTGTTTTGTTTTTTGTGCTATTTATTATTGCGCAGGCACTACAGTAGAGAGAGAGATACGCAGCGGTACTGAGACCACAACGACACACGCTACCATCACTCTACCCTCAAACGTCGAGGTCAGCAAACGGCACTGAATGTATTTAAATAATTGGTGTCGGACCTTACCTCGATATTAAGCATACGTTAATTAACGCTTAGCCTATTGTATGCTATTAATCCATTAACACGACTCCTACAGTTCAGTTTATTGACAAATTGGGTGATTGATTAACCGATTTTCAGACTACGGAGATATATCTCACAATACAGTACTTTGTTCTATTCTATGTACTGAACTAACAACCTGTTTGCGTAGATATAAGCTTTCTCTAACTGAATGTTTAGTAGTAGCTACAGAACTTCGTTGTAGCAAATCGAGATGTGATTGTGTATTATTTGAATGTCTTCAGATTAGTGCAGCTGATTTGGCGAATCTGGAGGTGACAACGACCACAGTGACTACCGAAAAGTCGAAAGCTCCATTGGCCAGGCCTGAAGAAGTCGGTTCTTAGGAATATTCCAAATTGCCTCGTGCCCTAAACTCGTTGATTTCACGCTCTGTCACGCGGAGCAATAAAACGATTAGATGTTTTTACTTAAATGAACTCAGTGTACACAGCGGCGATAGGTAGAATTTATATATCGTAGATTTTTTAAAAAATCTAGATTTGTACGTGGCATTAGCGATAGCCATAAACGATAAGCGAGTGTGAATTTCGAGTATTGTAGCGATAAACTATTATCCTGGATATACAACTGCCAAGATCGTCCATATACATTATATTATATTTTACGTTTTAACCGAACATTCTCACTGCATTTCACTCAATGAAAATGAATTTTGTATCGAGCAAAATTTTTCATGGTTTAGTGGAACTAGGCCTAGGTAATTTTTAATATCTTTTATTTGCAAATAGAACCAATTTTAAAAGAAAATAATTGAAATGTGTTATTTTATTAACAGTTTTATTGAATGCGACTTTAAATAAATTTTTACCAACAACACAGCATTTGGCGAGGCAACAGAAATTTTAATGACGAACCATTTTTTATAGCGTGGAGTTGGAAGTAATTTGGAAAAGTTAGTTTGTATAGATGGAAACGAGATACATCACAAATCGTCAACATGGCAGCCATATTAATTAATAACACAACGAAGTACGTTGTGCTACGTTATGTTTCTAAATAGTAAAATCAATAAGAAAAGCGACTTTTTAAGTTATGTTTCAAATAATATACGGGCGCACCGTGACGAAGATGAAAAAAAATATTAATATGTCAATGCTGTGCGTCCCAATAAAATAAAACAAATAGCTACTTAAGTAGAGTTACATATGTTGTAAGAAACGTTATAGAGATTAAGCGAGGAAAAACTTAAAAAAATGCGACTATCAATGGCCATGACGTTGAGGAGGAGAGTCGTTAAGAATATATTTTTTATCCATGTTTGTTAATAGTTAAGTTTCCTTATTTTCTCTGTTTGGAAACGACCATGGTACAATGAAATCTTTTATTGAGCAGCATCGAAAGTCGTTGACCCGATACGATAGAACAAAGTGAGAAACGAAATTGTGTCCTTAGCATCGCACGTACGTTCGACTTTTATAGATAAAAATCTACTCGTTTAGCTTTTCTTTTGGTGGAGGACAATTGCTACATATTACTTCTTACGCGATAAGTTGTAAAATTCCGCAAATGAACTGTTATTATCCATTATGTAGTAATTTACTACGTAGCTTGATTTATTTTCTCGAGTATTTAGGTACCACGATTTTAGATCTCAAAAGCTTCGGAATAAATTACGGCCACCTCGATTGTAGTGATTTCATGTTCAATTTCATCCTTCATAATATTGTAACTAACAATTTTTTACAAAAAATGAAAACTATTAAAAATGTGAAATATCTTATGGAAAACTATAGACTGACACATAAACGGAGTATAATTCTTTGCATTCAAATAATATTATTCTAAGGAATCTGAATAACGTTCTCAGCCTTTTTGGAATTATGCACGTATTAAACGAAAATATATCAACTTGTTGTTTATTGATACGACTACAGCAAGGCCTTTGTAGATAGATTTTAATCTTTCCCTAATTTCATACTTTCTTATAACTTTTCACTTCTTTTAATCGATCGCTTCGTGAGACACATATTTTTCTTATACGCGGTTATCACGAATAAATATTATACAAGGTGTTCCGAACATTGGTTATTGATATTGACATAACAAAATTACAATCTATTCTTTTCATGAGACTTTCACGAGACCCATTTAATATAATTATTATGCCACTGGAGCATCTTGTATCATTAATTTTACTACAGTTGTAAACTATTAACAAAGTGAAGTCAACGCGCGCTAAGTAAGATACGAAATGTATGAAAACAAACGTGCTTCTGCTATTGTAAAGTTATTGGTTTTTTACCTTGATAAAATATTACACACTGTAACGGTGGAATAATATTGCTCCCAAACATTATCTTACCTGTTCCTTTAAAAGATGTACATTCTCCCCATGAGTTAATGAAGAAATTGTCTAATGTGATTCTTTTGAAATGGTACACGAACATAAGAAACAGCAAGAAGGAAACAAAAAATTGGAGAAGGCGCGCATACTTTCAGAAATTGTTACGTGAACTGGAAAATGATTCGAAACTACAGTTAGAAGGAAGTTTTTTCAACCGCAATTGAAACTTCGTGGGAATATCGATTAATCGCACAGCATACCGGAAGTGCTATCGACCATAATTTAACCGATGTTCGCCAGGTGACGCATAAGTTTTCCAGGCGTGTCGAAACATCGCCTCGCGCTTGCGTCCGTAGTCCGTGCTGGTCCGTGCCTCCGTGATTCTTCGTCGTGTTCGTTGTTCGTCGTTGTGGTAGTCACGGTCGGGAGTTCGCGAGTCAGCGTGCGTCAGTGAGCGTGCACCAGTAGAATAGGACTTATTGAATAACATTAAATCATAGAAAGTGAGCGAAAGTGATACGTATATACGTAGGAAGAAAGACACACGGGAGAGTGCCATGATAAATTTGGTTGAACGTCGCGCGACTTCGATAAAGAGTTGGTAATAAGAGAAAAAGGTGCGCTCGCGACGAAGAGTGTCGCAGTGAAGTGTATCACGATTGGTGAATCTTAGACGGCCATAATTGTGCGCCATTCGGTCTCCGGTGCGGATCCGCGCAGCGAAAGGGCAGATGCCCTTACGCGGTTCGTGCTCCCATTGGTGGGTACGCGCTGATCTATCCGGATCGACATACTTGGCGAGATCCGGTAGTGTTCGCCGTGGCTTATTTACGGGTTCAGTAAATTCGCCGAATATAAGGACGAACGGCCAGCCGCCACCTGCGAGGGCCGAATCTCTTAACAGCCCGTTGCTGGTTAGTAGTCGTAGTCGGTGTGATTTCTGTCTAGCAGCAACGGTAGCAGCAATCGCAGCGCCGTCAACAACACGACGACAACGACAACGACGACAGCAGCGCCATCGTCAGCGCGACCGCCATCGCAGCGACGGAGAAACAGTATTCCTTTGAGGAGAGAAAGAAGAAATGCCTGTAGGTCTGCGATCGGTGACGCGACCAAAGATGGAGGCCCTGTCCAGTTTGTAACACGGCAGCCAGGTCTCGTTTTAAAAGCGCACCAACGGGAGCCCACCGAGAGCCCGCTCCTCGAGTCGGCTGCCTTAAACTCGCCTTTTGCCCCGTGCTACTTTTCTTCGTGAGCCCCGCGAGGCTGGACGATGGAGCTACGTGTTGGGAATAAGTACCGGCTCGGACGGAAAATCGGGAGCGGCTCCTTCGGCGACATTTATCTAGGTAACGTTTTCAAGTTTCGACGTTCACCTTTTACTTTTATCGTGTCTACCCCCCACCGCTATTATACTATCCACCCGCCTACCCGCACAACAGTTACATATTTTGCCCTTAGACGCGCATGAACGCGCCAACTCCTCCGTGCGCGTACACGTTTCCTTTATTCTTTTTTTTCACTTTGTTCACCCTTACGACTGCGTGACCGGGCCTTTTTGGCCTTTTTCTCGTTCTTTAGGTACCAATATCTCCACCGGCGAGGAAGTCGCCATTAAACTAGAATGTATAAAAACGCGGCATCCACAATTACATATAGAATCAAAATTCTACAGGATGATGCAAAGTGGTGGTAAGTGAATTTTCGCTTGTTATTTAATCCTCTGCACGGTATCGAGAATCGTCGAACATTTTGGAAGTCGCACCGAGTCAGCCGTGAACTGTCAGAATTTTGTTTGTTGGACAGCTGGTTGGTGTGGCCACTGAACCTTCTTTCTCTCCCTCTCTCGTCTCCTTCCTTTTCCTCGTGTTACTCCTTTCTTCCCCTACCTCATTCACTGTTCTTTGTGACAATAAGGAACTCCGAGGTTTCAACGTTTACATGCATATTTATATTCAAGGTTTATAAACTGAATAATTTACGTCGATATTTCAGTTGAATGATTTCAAGAATATCCGTCGTTCATATATTTAAAACGCAATTACACGTGTTAAAACATTGTTTACGTTACTTCCGTTCAGTTTTTAATAATCAATAACGGTCGATGTTTTTATTATTTATATAACTTTTATTTTCAACTGGGATACGTTTATTTTGCAGTTTTTAATAAGTTTTAAAATATCGATATGTAGTCGCGTCTTGTTATACGGTTACAAAATCTTAATACAATTCCAATTTTCTTGACGTATTTTTACTTACCGCATCGTACATTTACTCTGACATTTTAGTTGGTATACCAACTATAAAATGGTGTGGCTCAGAAGGTGACTACAATGTAATGGTGATGGAACTACTTGGCCCCTCACTGGAGGATTTGTTCAATTTTTGTCAAAGAAGATTTTCTCTGAAAACAGTGTTACTTCTCGCTGATCAGTTGGTAAATAATGATTTATTTTATGTCGAGAAGAACTTCAATTTTCGTTTTAAATAAAAAATACAGCTCATGAAGAATGATTTATAATGGGAGAAACAGATAATTACTTACATAACATTTATTTTATGTTACTTAAACGAAATCATCAACTGCATTTATGGCATTATTGTAACCATATGGCTCATGTTGGTAAGGTTTAAAGTTCACATTGTGATTACATGCAAGTACTTCTCATGCTGTTTTCTATTGTCGTAATAAAGTATTACAATATAGTCCTTATCAGTCAACAACCGAGTCGACTGATAACGCAGCTTTCTGATGTCAACAAAAGCAAGGTTCTCTCGCAAAACTGTGTTTACAAGTAAAATATTTCAACAAAGAACTGCATATTTTCTACGCCTGCACAAATATCTTACCTAATAGAGACAAGAATAGAGTGTTCACACTTCTAAGACATTTTATCTGTTTCTCTCATACGCCTAAATTTTTGTTTGAAGATAATAAACTGTTTCCTCATATTTTATAGATAAGTAGAACGGATTATATTCACAGTCGCAACTTTATCCATCGAGATATCAAGCCGGATAATTTCTTGATGGGCTTGGGTAAGAAGGGAAATCTCGTATATATTATAGACTTCGGTTTAGCTAAAAAATACCGCGATGGCCGTACTCACAAGCACATACCGTATCGAGAAAACAAGAATTTAACAGGAACAGCCAGGTTGGTGTTTATTGACGTCCCTTACTGTTCCATTTATCCTGGCCTATTTTAAAGTGAGATTCGTTTTTCCATGCATCGATAGATACGCGAGTATAAATACACATCTGGGAATTGAACAATCGCGGCGGGACGATCTCGAATCGTTAGGATACGTTCTCATGTACTTCAACAGAGGTAGCTTACCCTGGCAAGGTTTGAAAGCGGCGACTAAAAGACAAAAGTACGAACGTATCTCCGAAAAGAAAATGTCCACACCTGTAGAAGAACTGTGCAAGGGTTATCCCGGTAAATTATCATCCCGTTCTTCTATATTAATCATGTGCAGAAACCGTATTGAGTTTCTACGTATGGACGTTGATAAAATCGATATCATTCGTAATATAAAACTGTTATTATTGCAGTAGAGTTTGCGTCATACCTGAGGTATTGTCGAGGACTGCGATTCGAGGAAAGACCCGATTATTCGTATCTCCGACAACTCTTCCGGACGTTGTTCCACGGACAGGGTTTCACCTACGACTACGTATTCGATTGGAATATGATGAAATTTGGCAATATGAGGCAACAAACTTTGTCCTCGACACAACAAACACCGATGCAGCCGCAACACACGAACGCGGCGCTGCCTTCTGGGACCAATAACGATCAGGAACATCGATCCAGGTTAGTGTCTGCACTATGGCAATAGTATCTACGAATCGTTGACCATTTGAATATGAGATCAGCGTGAAAACGCTGGCAATCGCGTCTTCCCACTATGCCATCCTTTCATGCGTATAAATAGCGTATAGTCATTTCATTATCCAGTACGTCCTATTCTTAGCGGCTGGGTCAATGAATCGGGAAATGGTCATTTTTTACGATAGAAATGAAACCTTGAAGCGATTGTTAGTTATTTAAACCGAACGATATTTGATCTTAAATCTTTTATCGCGTTTTCGTTGCAGGCCCTATACACGGCAGTGTATGCCAAACATATCAAAGGTAGCGGTGGGCCAGACCGTAGGTGGAACGACCACGAATCTGAGAAACATGCGGCAGAAACGCGAAGCGATAGAAGCTCTTCGCGATCAGGACAATCAGGAGAGGGATCTTCAAGGTAAACCACAGTTGTATCCAAAATTATGTTCTAGCCAACAGCAGGCTATAACCGAGCGAAAAACGCAGCAGCTAGTAGTCGGACACTCGCAGTTTACAGATAGCGAAACGGCAATACGCGCGAATCCGTGTCAGTTCAGTACGTTCAAATCGTCGCCGGCTAGAACAACGCCGGAAGTAGGGTCCCTGGACATTGCCGGCCTTAGTATAGGAACCTGTGAACCACTCTCGAACCATGTCGAACCGTATAGTGATGTGTCTCGGTGTGTAGCGAATACATTGCATTTCGATAGAATCGGTAGTCCGAATAGGTCCTTTCGTCAATCAGACAAGCTAAGCTGCATTTTTCAATTGTATAAAGACACAAAGGACACAAATTGCGATGTGATGATGTTCGATCGTATAACAGACGATGAGAAAAAGACCGATCACGTGGACGATGTCGCGGTATCCGGTGGCTCGTTGAATTGTTTCGGTGGCTTAGAGAAAGACAAAGGCGGCGCTGAATACGACGACAAGAAGCAAAAAGGTCCCGCGGCTGGCGGTAGACACCACGACGGTCGTCGCGACTCCGGAAACGTAGAATTCCTCGAGAAGGAGGGCGAGATATTCAAGATAAGCAGCAGCGAGCTGTTACAAGAGGCGTCAGCTAAGAAAAAGAGAAACTTCTCGTTCAATAATAAGGAGAAAGCACACAGAAGCTTGGAGTCGTTGGAGAGAAGCATCGATTTGTCCGCGAAAGATTCGAAAAGTTTAGATTTGCTGTTCGAGGAACAGCCGAAAGCGTTTTTTCACGGGAAACAAAGAAGCCTCGATTCGTCCCAGAAGTCAAAAAAGTCCATGGATTCGTCCGCGAACAAAGCGCGAAAGCGGCCGAATTTCTTTCAGCGTGTTCGAAGAAGCTGGCATTTTTTACTCATGCAGCGCAGAATCAAGCGACGAAATAAATACGAACGGCCGCCAAGCGGTCGGGAGAAGTGCGAGTATTTTTTACACCGACTCGACAAGGACGATGTCCTCGAGCATGCTTCAGATTTGCCAGTCAGTCGTCCTAACAATCAGTCCAATTCCAATTTTTTCTCTAAGTTGGATAGTACCAATAAGAACGAGCTAGGCTTGAACAATCGAAAGAACCTCTGTCTCCAGTCCGATGATACGATTAAACATGTGATAATTTCGGATCAGAAAAATCGGAAAGAAACTATAGCATTGTCCGAGGGCAGTTCGTTTCGTGTAACGGACGGGGAAGGTAGAACGCCGGATAAAAATATCATTAACATGCCACCGGAAAAGAACGACACGGAGAAACTCAAGTCAGTCGCTGAGAATGATGTTCCTCAGAAATTGCAAGAAGTGGTCGGTACCGAAAAGAAAGAGCAGTTTGTTGATTGGGTGGTTACTATAGCGAACTTGGACGCTTTGAGTCATTCTAAGCAGTCGAATGAATCTGTGGGGTACGGTATATTGCACGGTATTTTAAAGGGTATACTTTTTGATATTTTTCTCTGCATATGCTGCTACGGCTGCGAGGGCCAGGTTTGGGCCGAGCACGGTGGTTTGGCCTAAGTTTATAATGGGTAAAGGTTTTTTGTAAGTAATTGAACGATCGAAATCATATTCTCCTATCAAAGAGTTCATGGTAAGAGGTACTCTCATCGTAATTAATCGATAGCTTTACCAGACACTATTACGTTCGTTTATTTAATCATTTACGGTTCCTGTTCGACTCCCTTCGATTGTTTTACCACGATATAGCTTCTTGAATATTGTAATCGTTCACGTATCTTGTTCTTGTCGCACTAATGTTTGCCAACGGTTCTTGGAAAGAGAGGGAAAAAATATTCTTATACTCGAGACTAGAAAGTACAACAGCCAATATAACTCTGAGGAAAATTAAAATAAAGAAAAATAAGGAAAATTGGATTTCGGATACACTGAAAATTAAAAATTTGAGGAGAATGTTTTGTTTATCCGTGTCCCGGTGCGATGAAGAAAATGAGAATTGTTTTACATGAGAGGATTAGGCGCCAAGGATCGATCTTCACATAATTTCATTATCGAATCATTTATTATGGGGTTGTTGCAAAAAGGAATTGCTGTCTTAGTTACCAACGTTTCATACAACAAACCAATCGGTTTTTGCAGTAACCCCCGTTGTGTACGATACATTTCAAGAGCATTATACTCATCTATTCGCATCTAAACCTCTCATACGTTCATAGATTTTAATTGTCCTACAATTTGTTAGAAGAAAGCTGGCGCCAAAAAAATACATCCGCTCTTATTTTACTGCCACTCACTCTAGTGTATAGTTTTACGTATTTCCTATAACCACGCGAATCGCAGTCTCGAAGACTTATTTTATGCTCGAAAAGTTTTAAACTGGACGACTTCCTAGCAAACGCTGAAGCATTATTATTTTTGTTTTTATTACTTGATCACGTACATGTATATTTTTGTCTCTTTCACTTACTTCGTTCTCTCTCATCTTCCTTCCATCCGTTTTTCTGTCTCATCCAGAGAGTCTTCGCGATTGCGTATCTATTTGTAATCATCCTGTTTTTTGTTTTACTTGATAGCGACGATAATGATGATGAAGAGAAAGTAGCAAATAAATGTTTTTCCATTCAAGGACTGGTCTCTTTATTTATTTCACCACATAACATTCGTCGACAATCCTCGTCAAAATTTTCTTCTCACTTGGCTTGAATGGAAAAACCAAATTGTTGCAGCGTTCGTTAAAACTCAACTTCGATCGTGAATAATCATTTTTTTATTTCGATTTTATCGCATCATCTCTCTTCACGAAGGCATACAGACGTTTGTTTCGCGTTCGTTTCCGACATTTTTCCATTTCAATTGCCAAGCGTGAAAAATTGTTCTCTCCTATATCATCTGATCGTCTATAGTTCTTCGCAAACCGAAAATAATTGGAATTGCATTTCGTCGATCGAGTCGAATTTCATCTAAAATCATGTTTTTCGCATCATTCGATTTAAGGATAAAGAACAGTTGAGAATAACTGTGATTTTCTATATGAATTCCGATCCTCAAGGTTGACCATTATTGTTACAACCGTGTTTCGTTGAAAAGGCATGACAAAGGCTATACAATACCGCGTTTGAATACCTTGAGCATCGATTTTTCTTTAGTCCGCGTCGTCTAGCCAAGAAGGAAACGCGTTATTATTATTTTCAATCTAAACTCGATACCTGGTAAAATAATCGATAGAATTAAAGGAAGCTCCGCGATATACATAAATACATCTGTGCAGCTTTATTACGCTTGACGATTATCATTTTTCGTATACTGAAATCGTACCGTTCGCATAGTATAAAACAAGATATTGTAATCATTCCCTAAACTATACTTTTTGCTCGTCATGGTTCTCGAACGGGGCCTATTGTCTAGAAACTTATCTCGTACGTGACGCAAGATTCGCGTATGCTAGGCATAACATGCGTACTGCAGCCACTTAACAATGAGAAGCGCTCTTTTGTAATGCCAGTGTTGATCTCTTTTTGTCAGTTATTTCTCTCGTTTTTCGCTACGCTACGTGGGCGTAAATATCCGTACGCGAGGAGTCAAATCTTCTAAATAGTCGAGATGACCGTAATTTCTTTGCTCTTAGCTTATATTATTAAATGGAACTAAATATTAGTAGAAATCTTGAGAGATAAGAAAGAAATCGGAATGCCCAGGGACCGCATTTTAAATGATTTTATCATTTGACGCGATACAGCTATAAATTAATGAAATGATTTGGTTGTAAAAAGACCGATTGATGTATCGTTTGTTTTCTGATCATCTCTTTCAGCGTCGGGCACGGGAGGCCAGGAGCGAAGGGTCAGTATGAGGTCGCACCGTAGGGATGCAATTGCTGGAGAGATGCAACCGAAGACCAAGTGAGTTGCTATTATTACGCCAGAAACGTCTTATTGCAGATAAAGCACCTAAGTATAACTCGCTCTGCTAGCAATTTTAGGGAGTGGTCTTTAACTGTCTTACTTCGGTTCTCTCTTAATTGTACCAACGTGTGTATACACGATTCTTTAATATCCTGGTGTCCGCGGAAGCTTTTTCACACTATTAACACCAAATTTTTCCTTTTTGTAAGTTGTTGTTACAGCGAACGTTTAATTCTTATTCTTAATTTTATTCGTTACGATATCTTAATATTTCAATTTTAATCTTTACGCTAAGCAACAATTCCTGTTTTCCTCTAAAATTGTACATATTCAGGAAATTCGATGTAAAGAATAATTTATGCAGCGTGAAGATTAAACTTTGACGAGTGTGAATGATCAAATGTTCGGGTTCGTTCGTCGCTACGATTGCACCGTACGATCGACCACACTTGTGCCACTTGTGAACATAAGCATTTTATATTACTTGGTTTTGGTACATACTTGTATGAATTACATCGAGCTTGTTACACTTGGTGCTGTCGTTTAGTGATTGCATGAAGCGTTGCACAGAGTACATGCAAGCCATCGCATCGCGAGCGAAATTTTCAAATGATCTCTTGAAACCGGGGTATTACGAGTTTGTATTATCAGGTCACGGTTTTTCACGGCTGTCTGAAGAGTCATTCAAGCGGACACGATCTCGATTATTGCGTCTACGGCGTTTTCATTTTATCTTGCACATTCGCCACGTCTCTTTCTTTCGTTTACGCTTTTTAACGTCGTCGGACCACGATCAAAAGAGTTCTCGGACACGTCGAAAAGTTCCATGTAAAATAAAAGGAAGCATTCTGGCTTCGAGCATATTTCATAATCGATATGTACGCACACATATGTAGACTCTCGAAGAACAGTTGCGTAAATCAATTCTTTTTTTTTTAATCTGAACTGTGGTTCATTCTAGAGAGATTCGTTTGCTTGCAAACTAAATAGATCTCGATAATGGATGTCAGTGTTAGTTGCATTTAGCTCTAATTTGGCAGGTCACTTTTTTTGGTAGATTTGGTGTTTTGATACCGTGGCATGGTTCTCTCTCGATCCATCAGGGATCCTGGGAGAAGTTGAGAGAGGAGAGGGAGCTCATAGTTTTTTGTTGTTTGGGAAGGACATCGTCAAAATAAATGTTTGGCTAATTTAAAAAAACTGCAGGACTGCAAGAATTATTTCCAAATGCAATGTTCAAATCTGTTGCCTGCTGTATATCGGCTGCACTGGGATCAGTTTTCCTTACATCACATCGTGAAATGCGTCTCTTATCTATCTTATAACCAGTAAACGGGCACTTTGTATAGAAAGTTCAAACGTCCAATTTTTCAATATGCAAGAACATACGTACAAAGGATGAAGTACATATTCTTGTTTCCAAGAGCAAAAGAAGTTCCTATCTGAATTGCATTTCCTAGATTGACATTACAAATTTTGTCTAAAAATCTGTAGTTTAATGATAACGCCTGGCAATCAAGATTCTTTATCAATCAATAAATTTTCACACGATCACACGTTTCCATCCCCTGCTGGTGAATGATCTTGAGAAGATGTGCGAAACGTTTACGCCGATCGGGATGCCCAATATCCGAGATGAAGAAGGAAATCGAACATCGAATCGCCCAGTTACGAAAGCACTTTCGTGTTTAGCTTACGAACGATATTCACCAGCACGTGTCGCGAATAAGAGCGTAACGAAAAAAGAGAGGGAAGCCAGATCACCGACTGGATGATTACGAAACTCCGTCTGGCAACTGGTTACCACATTTTTATCGTTTGGATACATGATGTAACTTTTGCTACAGACTGTTATTTAATTACGCGTTTACCACACGATCATACGAATTATCTATAAAACAGTTGAATAGTTCACGAGTTATCGATCCCTAATAATATACATCTAAGTTAACATCGTTTTTTATGAATTATTTACAAGCAATCTGTTGTACAGGATGACGTTCCAATTGGTAGTCGTTGTTTTATTACGATTTTTAAACTGTTTGATGTCTGTGAATATCTTGTCGGTACCATTTAAACGGTCTAATCATCTTTTGCTTAACAGATAGCTGATACAGTTATAGTAAACGGGATACAATTATCTTTTATGACAGTAATTATCTGCTTACCGTTATCGCAGAGATTTAGCTACTTGCTTCATACAATCTTATTGATTAATTCGTAGATACGTTTAGTAGCTTTCAAAATTCATTCACATCTGATGAATCTTTATTGAAGAAAATTGATGTATCGTATATCACTTTTAGCAGAGATCACGATTGCCTAACGTTGAATCATAATTATTTCTTAATTATTTGGGAAGCTCTTATCTTCATGATAACGATTAGAAAATCGTTTGCATTGAGTAGACCGATTCCAACGTACGAGATAAGCGCATGCACGCATGCACGTTCCTTTTCTTTATTTTCATTACTTTCATATTACGCTCTTCTATTTCTCCCTCTCTGTCTCTCACTCTCCTTGAGTCGCGTCTATTTAACATCGTAGAGAGAGAGAGAAAAAAAAAAGAAACGAGCAAAAACAAAATTCGGCATCGAGACTCAGTGGAACTCCGCTTTATGTTCTTTCGTTGACTTTTTTTGCAGGTAACCGAAAGCTAAGACACTAATTCTAAATCGCAAAAATAGGCAAAGAGGGGGCGAAAGTAATCTCCTGTGCCACGGTAACGAACACCGGCGCAAAAAAACTGAAAAGTCGTGGATCAAAAAGCATAGAGAAAACGAAAATCGTGCAAAACGAAACAAAAACAAATAACTAAAAGAACAGCAGGAAGGCGTGTTCGCTTTGCGATCCTTCTCTCCGACCTCTCTCGGTAGCCCTGTCGCGCGAGCCTCGGAATTATAAAGCCTCTCGCTTCTCGAATCCTTTGCTTTCGAGCGTTCGGTTCTACCACGTCTTGTACACCACATCAGACACCACACGATAGACTGCGTATTCTCTCGCCTTATCTCGAATCAAAGATTTGCTCCCGACACTTCGTTCATCCATTTTCAAAATGATCGACTTCTGCTTTCGTATCGTCATCCGTGGAAAGGAGGAGACGTCCGTCGAACGAGACACGCGACTCCTTCGTGGAACCGACGATTTCTTGAATGGGAAAGAGAAAGGAACAAGAACGACGACTCGCGACTATGAAACGTGTGTAAAAAAAAAGCGGACGCCGAGACAGGAAATAGATGTAAAGAGTCGGTGATTAAAATTCTGTTGAGAAAACTGCGCAGGGAATGAACTGGACAAAGAGAGACGGAGAAACGGGCTGAACACCAGAGAGGAGGAGAGACAGAGGAGGAGAGAGCAAAGGTCTCGGTCGTGTTTCGCGATGCGCTAACGTCCGTATTTCGTGTGTCTTATTCCAAAAGCACCAATGAAACGGCCTCATCGGATTTGACGAGCAGTCAACACAAGTGAATCAACTCTTCTTCTTACACTCGTCTTCGTCGTCACCATCTCTCTTTCGATAATGTCGACAAGAATGATCATCGCGGGCAATGTCATCATTATAATGACCAATTCGATGAGAGACGTCAGCCGAATTCTATCCAAAGATCGGAACGATCTTTTTAAACTAAAAGTGGAATTCGTAACTCGTGGAGCTTCTCGTCGATTGGTGCATCCATAGGAGCACGATCGTTAATGAGAAATAGCTTCGGACGAAATGTTAGATCGAAGCGGTGAAGAAGACGTGCTTGACTTTACCAAAGCTGAAAAGACGCCATCCGATGAAAGGCAAATCTTGGTGTCCGAGTCAATCACGAAGCTGACGATCTTGAAACGTGTGCTGCGATATGATAATTCGCGAACGAACTCGTTGCACCGAGAGGATCCTTCCACGAGGCGTTGTTTAGAGATAGAAGAACGATGCGCTGTATGGAGTTTTAATGATCTTGAGGATTAATTGCGAGTGTACAGTACGCGAATTCGATTATGGTACATATGGATAATTTTCGTCGCTGTGATTTTGAGAAACTAAGCGAAAATTGTTTGTATTCTTGGAGACCATGCGTCCTTCTGTCAGATACCCTTTCGCCTAAAGGAGTATTCCCACTTACAATATTTGCAATGGACAGCTGTAAGAGACGAGCGACCAGTAACGTTTTAAGGGGCTTCGAAGGCAGCGAGCACATGAAAATCAGTGCCATAGTCGGAAATCAGCGGGATCCGCTGGGGCACCCAGCTTTTACATACTTTTCTCTATACTTCGCACTTCCGACTACGGCACTAATAGGTCACTCGTTCCCTAGGACTGTCCCTTGCGAATATCGTAAATCGGAATAGTTCTTGAGACTCCCTTTCGGATTAGGCTCGAGTCTCTGGTCCTTAGGTTTACGATCGACGTGGATCGGAGGAACCGGCGATCGAGCGCACTGTATAAAACGTGTAGATTATTCTCCTCATCCTAAAGCACGATTTGTACATAGACAAAATCGGCATCGGAGACTGGAAGACGGGTCTCGGACGAAAATTGCGAACGCGCAAAACCAGCCGGAGAGAACCGCGAAAGTCAAGTCGAACCGTTCGCACGATCCGATTACCTGTGAGACCAACTCGAAGGAGACTGCTCCGAGTCAGGATCCATTGCGTTTGCGCTCTCGACGGTCGTACAGAACCTGTATATAGCGGGATTATTTGCCGAACTGCAGAGAAAAGAGATCAGACGACTAAAGCTGTAAGGTAAATCCAAGTAAAATCGGTTGTGCTAGTTAAGAGAGGAGTAGTGGTTAAGAGACAATTAGCGTACTGTACAATTCGTGGCTTCGCGCTCGAACCCCGTTATCTTTCGTTTTTTTAACTATCGACTCGCGAACATCGCAAAAATTCAGAGAAGTTGCTCGGGGAAACGAGCAATTGAACCTTGCGAGCTTCTATCTTGACGAGTACTTCTCGCCCTGCCGCCGCGTCCCTCGTTCTCATCCTTTTTGTACGATACGGCCGGACGAGAGCGAGAGACGGGCGTATCCTTTGAGTTTAGTACCGTTCAAGATTACCGATGGGTAATGCAAGAATGAAATATAGAAGCGTGTTCGCTAAATTAGGGTGATTTCGTAACGGAGATAGTTGGTAAATGGTACTAAACTCTGTTCATCGTGTACCCTGTGCGAATGTCCTTCCTCGACTGTATGAGCTTGCATTTCGACTTACGTATGAATGCGAAATTTGTGTGCTCGGACGCGGGCAGAGGAGAGGATGGGGTGTCATTCTCGGATTTCCGTTCAGGGAAGTAATTATTGTTAGTACGTGCGATTCTGTATCCGGTAAAAATTGTCATTTTCCTCGCTGCGCGACGATCCGGACTTTTGATCATTATTATGCTTTTTGCGTACGTGATACGGTGTTGAATAATTTTTAAACGGTCGGGAAGTCCGTTACACGTGACGGGAAACGAATGGATAGGCCGCAAGTCGAAACGTTCACCGGAAACCGAGTTTCTTAGCGTAAACTGAAGATTGCCTTTACTATTGAGATTTCGTCGAATGTGCGAGTGCAGTAAAATCAGAGTAAGAAGGGAGAGAGGATAAAAGGGACGAGCGTGAAAGTGTCCGAAAGAGAAACGCGAGGAAAACGGGAATTATAAGTAATTATTATTCTTAGGAAATGTGCATTTCTTTTTTTATTTCGCAACTTGCCAAGGACGACTGATTTGCGAGAGAAATCCACCGATTAATTTGATTCAAATTTTTTGTTCAGATGAACCTAGCGATCGATGGTATACAGGGTGTTTCGTAAATGGTGGGTAACACTTTAGGAATAGATTCCTAATGCTTATTTTTAGAGAAGACAAAAGAGTTATATTAGAGTAGGCTCGCGTTTTAATTATATTTATGCAAAGGCCATAAAATCGACCTTCTGGTCTTTGATCTCCCGAGTTTCGACAAAATTTCACTGGGGCCCCTCGATATCTCCGGCTTTTACACGCTTTTAGTATATGCTGTAAACTTGATGGCAAATTTTCACGGTCGGCTCGAAAGACGTCGCACCGCACCGCACAATTTTTGCCCACCATTTATGAAACACTCTTATAAAGAGAATAAGTGTCTAATTATTCATTCGTTTGCGTAACGTTTGAAGTTTTGCCCACCATTTATGAAACACTCTTATAAAGAGAATAAGTGTCTAATTATTCATTCGTTTGCGTAACGAAATTTTGATCGTCATTCCACACCTAAGCCCTCTTTTAACTCAATTCATCATTTTATTTATACTCATTGAATGACGAAGAAGTGACACTGATTGAGATGTTAGTTTCAGAAGCAAATTTATGAATTCATAAATTTGGGAAATTACTATTTGTACAGAATTATCTATAAACCATCTACGCTGTTTACGAAATTTGAATCAAATCAAAGAATATGCGTATCTCATCTGAAATCAGTTAATCTACAGAACTAACGAAATTACACATAATCACCTGCGCCGTCGCTCCAAATCTGATACTTCATATTCTTCATCATCCACTTCCTCTCGCATCCCTCCTCCTCCCTCGATCAACTTTGTCTTGTATAAAGTAACGTGGCCGCATAGCATAAACGAAAAGTGAAAAACAAAAAAGCGTGATATAAAAAAAGAGGATTATATACATATATATATATTACATAAATATATATATATCTTATGCCGACACGTGTTTTTCTATGTATTTTTTTCATAGGGTACTACTACTGCTATTATTATTACTATTATCAATTAACTATTAACTAATTAAACTGCTACCAACTATTACTATCATTATTATCGCTGCTACTATCGCTAATCACACACGTATACACGAACACCACACCCATACACTATTTACTACTATGTTGTGACTTGTATAAAACGACAGTTTAATTCGCAGCGATCTACTCGAGACGGGAGTGGAATAAAACGAAAGTAAAAAAAGTCTCTTCGTTCGACGATGAGGGAAGAATGGAAACGATGGATTCATCGCATGGTTCTCTGCGTATCGCGAAATTCCCATCACATTTTTCGTTTTCGTTCCCTTCCGTTCCCTTATCATCTCACGAGTCCTCCACGCCCGCGTCCGATCTGGTTAAGCTTTAAAGTCGAATAACAAAAAAAAAAAAAGAGAGAACAAGGATAAACCTAAAAGGTATCGAGCGTGCGAGGAAAAGATGTACGTAATTCTAAGCTTTACCTTCCTTTAACCCAGTTTCGTATTTTGTTACATTTTAGAAGGAATTATAGCACAGCAACTCCTAGTAGTAATATAGTATTCTTTTCCCCCTGGTTTCAAGGTATGTCGAAAAGAAATCTGAATCGTTGTAAGCGCAGAGGATCAACAGTTATTGTTTCGTGCGTCGTATGCTTTTTGACAACTAATAAATCTTACGATGTATTCGTTTGTATTGATATTATTAGAGACATGATTAGTAATTGTTGTTAGGAAACATTACACGGTGATCCTTATTATTCTAATTGTAAGATAATCGTAAATTTTATATTAATATTCGTTGTATCGAAGTCACGTAATACTTAGATATACGCGGTTGTTATTCGATTAACATGATGTCGATGTTTTTCATCGTTTCTTTCCATTTACCACTAATGATTATTTTCTCTCTCGGGAGAACATCCTTGATTCGGTCGCGACCATCGAGGAGACTGGATGGTTCCTGGCCTGTCGAATTAAGAATTCGTTTCCGAGCTTCGACTCAGAGGCAACAAACACTGCCAGCGCAAACGGAAGCCCTAGCGTTCTCTATGACGACTGAATGATACGTACGGAATCAGTTCTATCACGATCCGTTGTTTCCTTTTCGACCATGGCAAAGACGCGAGGTCCTCGCCTGAAAATGAAACGAGGTACACCCTTCTCGAGGTGATCGATGCCAGTGCGACGAGAGGAGACACATCGTTTTCCCCTTTTCCCTTTCCTTTTGATAAAACAGTTCGCGCCATACGCGAGGCGCGTTGAAATCTACGAAAAGAATATTTTCATGAAACAGTAGGAGCCGACCCCGTCGCGCAGCCATTCGACAGTATTATAAAGTCGTCAATAAAACGTAGGAATTTATAGTGTATAATTTGTTGAATCGCTGCTGGCGAGGTGGGCGTTAGCGTGAGATTTTAGCGCGCGGTGAGAAAAGTCGTTGGCGTGGACTGACGGAAGCTAGCTAGTCGGCAGCGTCGATCCTTCTGACAGAAGTAAATTTATAAGAAAGAAAGATGCAAAACGAGAAAAAGAAGCGATAAAGAGAAATGATCTGTGCGCGCTTGATCATACTCGGCCTAGTGGATCTTCTCAATCTTCTCGCGCCTTTGGATCCAAGCGAGGCTCGTTCAAACGGAGGTAGAAGACATTTCGAAACGAACAGCGGAGAGAAAAGCAAAAGCGCAGCACGGTACGAAGATTTTACCAGGCGTCACGACGATCACGGCATCGTGGTATTATAATTCGCGATCAATCGTATTTTAAGTAAATAGTAATCGAAATTGTATCGATTTGCGAATGATCACTGTATATGTATATACAATTACTATCCTTTACCCGACGGTGAAAGAGATGACTATGAGATAATATGTGAGAACGGTGTATGCGTCTGTGCGCGCACGTGTTTGTCGATGATGGATAATGTTCTCTTGGTGTATAAGGTTCACAAGAAAATCTATTCGATACCTTACTGTACTAATACTAGCGCGTGTAACAAATATGTGTGACGATACGCAACGGAACAATGGGAAGCGAGAAATGAACAATCGAGTGAAAAAGGTGACCGAGGAGAACGAAGCAAACACCGGGCGAGAGGAGGAGTACTATAAAACCGCCTTTGCGTGTGCAACGGCGGACGAAATTATAGAAATTGTCACAGTCGGTCGCGATCCGAGCTGCTTCGTGGCTTGTTCGTTGCCTTCATTTTCTTCTCTTATCTCATTTCACTATTTTACTTTTTTGTACATTGTACTAGCGTATCGGTCTCTCGTTCTACGTGATGAGAGGAAAAGAGATTGAAAGATGGGAAGAATGTTGCTCATGTGAGAAGAATCGAGAGAAAGCGAGTCGTGGCTGCGTGCATGTGAGACGATGTTTTCCCACGTGTGACAAGAGAAAACCCATAGGGGGACGTACGATGTTTCTGGCTTTCGTTGCACTCTGATACAATTTTTTTTTCCCGTTTTTTTTTTCATCAAGCATACAGCCAAAAAATTATAGAGAAAACAACAACAAAAACTCTTGCCATCTTTGAGACTCGGCCTTTGCTTGCATTCACGGTTTTCTTTCTTTGTAGGTTGATGAAAAAAAGCACGAGCGGCTAACTGATCGACTAAGCGTCTAGGCTACCCACGGATTTAATCGTCGAGTTTGTAGTCCGTTTGGCGGAAGTATGTGGTGGCGAACGCCTATAATATCCGGAACGGCGAGCGTAAACGAGTCCGAGTGTGTTGTTCAATTGTGCTAATCGGATCTTTCCTTTCTAAGGACCCTCTCTTCGTTCTTTCCTTGGAGTCGAGTTCTCGCTATAGACTTAAAAAAGAAAAAGAACGAATATAACATCGACGCTTTTCACCACACGCGTCTTTAAAGTTTTTCTAAGTCGCGTGTGTTGTGCGTGTACGATGTTCGAGGATGGCAAGAGAGCGTACAATTTGAGAGAGAGAGAAAAAAATAATTTAATCCGAGAAACAGCCCTGCGCTTGATCGAAATACACGGTTTGAAAAAAAAGATGATAGCAGAGAAAGTAACGTGGTATTGTTATTGCGTATGAGCGACGAGAAAGAAAAAGAGAACGAAGTATAAATTTGCGGATATTTAATCTATCATTCGTGGCTACGATCGTCGACCCACTGGCACGCTACTTTTTCCTCCTTAAGAGGAATTTTTTTCTTTTTGTACGAGATAATCGTCGTACTTCCTCCCTCCTCCCGGTGGCGATTTCCGGTCGGAGGAACGAAGGAATTCTCCAGTGGGTCGATCGGGAATAATGAAAATTAAGCTTGCAAATATCTCAGCATTCTCGATGTGAGTTCGTTAACTCCTAAACTGAAGTGCAATTGTAAAAAAAAAAGAAGAAAAACAAGGAAAAGAAAAAATCGATGATCGTCGTTGTCCGTTTGCTTGTTCGTCTATCAGTTATTATCAGTGTAACCACAAATGCAGCGAGCATTGCGTGAATTGTACCAAGTTTCTTTTCCGGTGTTCGAAGTAACTTCCTTTTCTTTTTTCGTCTTCTTCTTTTTTGGTAGCCGGGCGCACGTTGCTTCGAAGTTAATCCTTTATGTAACGGGCGTAGATCTGTGCGGACGGCACCATGAACGACGGAGACGCGCGATTTCACGGGTGGCAGGAAATAATAATCAAAATAATAGGCAGCTATTTAATAAACGCCGAATTCTCTGGAGATACCGAGTAGCGCAGCGTACGATGGTGCATCGAGCAAACAACGTTTCTACGTGTTTAACCGATTTTAATACTTGTACCCTTATCGAACCGTAGGATAGTGATTCTTAATCTGCGACGTGTAATCATGTATTTTTTGAAGTTCGAACGGAAGAAACAAACTGCTGGTCTGTAATTAATTTTTTATACACGTAACACGATGCGAGGAGATACAGTATCTCTTTGAGAGAAGCGAAAATGATGGATTGTCCGGTTTACTTGTCACATTCACCTTTCTTTCCTCCTCTCTCTTTTTTTTACTTACAACATATCGTTTCATTTTCGTCGAGTGGTTGCGAAACGATTAAGAATCGCTGGCATAAAGGGTTAATTTGAAAAGAAATGCCACGCTCGTAGCGTCGACCGCGAAAGCCGGCGCGAATAGTCGAGCGTGTACGAGAGTCGAGTCAAAATGCAACGTGTGTCTGATCAGTTCTCTGAACGTCTCCTTCCGTACAGGCAGTCTGATTTCGCGTTTTTCTCCGCCACTTTTATGTTCACTGTAGGAATTCGTGTAATTACCGATTAGGAAGAGCCGAAAACGAAACTGTTTGTTTTAGACCGGAAATGGCGACGGCCGGGGAGCCCTGGTGAAACGGATCCGTGGCTCGTCTCAAATATTTTCGGAGAATAACGAGTTTTCTTTCAGCGACGAGCGTCGTTCGCCGTTTCTCGGCGCTCCCCGCCGGTCGCTCGCCAAATTCTAGTTAAATAATAAAAAAAAAGAAGAAACGAGGCATTTTTTAAATTAAACGAGATAAACGAATAACTATGTTTTTCTTTTCCTGTTTTATCCCTAACTTAAATCTCCCGTCGTCTTTATTGACGAAACTTTTTTTTAATACAAAAGACAAATGAGTCTCGGAGGGAAGAGTAGTTTTTATTTGATGCAGATGTCTTTAACTGGATTTAGATAATAAAATTGCAACTGCTTCGTTGAGATTCAAGATGCCAAGAATCCACCATCCACCGGAAGATTGACACCATTAATCATCGAGCTACGATCGCTTAACAGGTACACTACCGCATCAATCACCTCGGACACCTCTGCAAATGCAATATAATAAAACCAGTAAACACACAAGGAAACTCTTATCTACGAATCGACTTAATTACTTACCACCGAATCTACCCAATGGAATTTTACTCAACATGGTCTGTGCCTTTTCCGGTTTGCTCCATCCTAACTTCCCCATTTCTGTCATGATCACTGTAGGATTTACTGTATTTACTCGAATATTATAAGGACCAAGTTCGAGAGCCATTGTCCTAAAAGAAAATCAAATTTCATATCAGTGGCTATTAAAATCAGGTAAGTAAAGACGAGGCTATATTAAAATAGATAAAAGTTAAGGATGTATTGGCTATACAGTCAATCCCAAAAGTTTATGTACCTTAGAAAAACGCATTTCTTATAATTAAAAAGAAATCAGACGTCGGAAGAATAATGCTAACAATAAATAGCTAC